ACGTCTGCATTCTATCAGCTGTCACTTATTTATTTGCAATGTTTACATTTATTCCGAAAGTCAATGTTGGTAAATAATGTTTCGAAATGAATTGTGTTTAATTTTTTTGTTTTCCGTTTTTATAATGACTAATGAGTGAAGTAACTAGACATGGTAGGGGAAGACTTGCAAGACGTGGAAGAGTGTCCAGGAATTCCACAGACTTAAGAAATGCCAAAGAAAACGTCATGTAGGGACTAACCGTGAAAGAAATCCAGAAGCTGTTTTACAACCTGTCTTTAGAAGAACGCTGGAAAATGAGTTGAGTGTTGTTTCTCACAATCTATGTCCTCTTAAAGCACTTGCATGCATTGTGGCGCATTTCACTTCGCAGAGGAGGCCACAAATGGACATTTCAACGCATGTTGCCACAATGGACACGCCACAACCACAAGTAAATGACGAACTAAAATAATTGTTTTTACATGATTCGAAATTCATAAAAAACATAAGGCAATACAACAGTACAATAGCTTTTGCGTCGCTTTGCGCTACACAAAAAGAGATTCCGGGAAATGGGCCTTACTGTCTTAAAATTCAGGGACAAATTGATAGATATATTTTTGACTTACTACCGCAAAATGGGGAGTTGCCTTCATAATAATTAATAATAATTTTAACCTTTACATTTGGTTCTCAAAATGGAAACTATAACAGAATTCGTAAGATTAAAAAACAAATCTTCAATTTCAAACTAAAAAAGATGTGCAATGTTTGGCTGTATGATTTCAGCTCTGATTCGTCGTTCTCCGGGCTCAGGCCAAACCGTGTGCACGTTTCCATTTGTTAATATGTTGTGTTATTGATTCAATCATTATTTTACTATTGTCTTTCATTGACACATCAGAAGCAACTAATATACGACTAAAACGGAAGAAAAACCAAGATATAAAACAAGAAACACTGTTAATTTTAAGTAGGCTAACATAAAATTGATAATTTTAAAAAGATATTTCGAATATTTGTCTTTTTATATATGTTTTTTTTTGTAGTCTAAATTAGGGGCTATGGCCCCTACAGGCCACTAGTTCATATTTAAAATAGATTAAAGGATTTTGTCAGCTGTTTCAATTACACAATTTGTTCTATGATATTCAATATTATTAAAAGTTATAAGGTTCACCGACAGGGTGCAGCACTATTATTTGATTTTTCATTCATGACAACATAGCTAAATTGAACCAAGAGCCACAACAAAAGGCTGTGATGCACAATGAGAACTGTTAAAGTAGGATTGTTTACAGTTAAGTTTATGATTTTAATTTATAAATAATGTTTTGATAATTTGCAGATATTAGATAATTTACTTTTAACGAATTTCCGTATAGGGAAGTAGATATTTTATTGTTTAGGTGTAACATTGAAATAAGCAGTTTGCTGGAATCGTAAATTGACATATGGGCCACGATTTTTGTGAATTTAATGTGAAGTTCCCATTCACCCCCTTTCTCCCCCTACCCATAACTTAAAACTTTAAAATTGCATTAAGGTACCCCTTCATATCAAATGTGAGGGCATGAAAAAAATAAAAGAATGGCGCAAACTAGAGATCTCTACATAAATCCTATCAAAAGTTAGGGCAGTTCAAAATTTAAATTTTTCGCCCCCTTTTTTACATACTAAAAATTTTCAAAATCTTTCTTCAAAAACAAAAAAATTCTCGGATGCCAGCTGCTTGTTCAATAAAAAAACTGTAAAAATCCGAGAAATTTTACAAATTTGAGAAGCAGATTTTTGAAGGTGAAGGAGTGCGATTTTTGGAAAACGCTAAAGAGTTTTTTAGTTAAATTTTCATTTGGTTTTTAATGGTATTTTAGTTAATAGTATCAACTATAATGTGTTAGTTTAAAGATTAAAGCAAAAGAAAACATAATAAAAGTGGATTACTTCTGTATTTGGTAAAATCATTTGAGGTTTATTGTTTTTGTAACATACCAGTTAAAAAAAAAATAACAAACAAAAGAGTTATTTAGTTTAACTCTTTGAATATACCAAAAAATGTTTATTTTGATAAGAAATAATCTCTACAAATTATAAATAGTAACAACATAATTACTTACATGAAATTTACAACATTATGTACTGTTTATTTATCTATGAAAGTAAGAACACTAAAGAAACGAGTAGGCAACCACAAGGCAGGAAGGATATTGGATGAAGGCCAAAGGAATCAATAAATTGACTGTGTTGTTCTGCTATCTCACACATTCTACCAGACCACCTTAATGTGATATCAGATCAGCATTGGCTGAACTATTAGGGTAAAACCGGCTGCTAAATAATTTGTTGAAAGTCTGATATGTGTTGTAACTCACAACAAATCTCCACTTAAAAAAATAGCTACGGTAGGGTACACTGTATTGACATATAAAAAAAATTTTGAACATTAGAAAAAAGAAGGCCAAGCTTCTCCGTTGATGGTCAATTTTGGCATATTGAATGAATAAAGTGTCAATCATATGTATCACCTTTTTCCATTTTTATGCATTTTCCACATTGAATGTTGATATGCGGTAAATGTATATTTTTCACCGTTGTAGGACATTTTTCATTTAAAATTTGATACTAATGAACTATCAGCTTTTTAACTTAAATATTTTGAAATTACTTGCGCTTTTATAACCATACAGCACAGAAAAACTTATCATATTTATAACAACATTATAACATTTCAAAACAGTGACTTTACTGAACATAGTTAATATGACTTCAAAATTCTTTAAAAACCAAAACTTTCAGTTATTGCATCCTAGATTTGATTCTCACCAACTTATTTTTGTTGACTCAATATTTGATAGTTAATTGTACATTATTTACTTTTAAACTTTGTTATTACATACATCTAAACTAAATCCTCTATATATAACAGGTCTTGAACAATCATAAAAGAAATGATGAATTATGTAAGTAATGTGACATGACTTTTTTTGGCCATAAAAATATCCACCATTTCCGTCATTATTGTATCACTTCAATTGATTATAAATCTATCTTATGTTTATCAATGCCATACGCTAATCATGCACTGACTCACTACATTTCTAGATCATACAAAATCCAAGCCTTTGACAATGCAATTTTGAATACAATTTTGTATAGATTCTTTTTAACAAAATTTTCTAAATTTTACAGTATGTATATTTACAACTACAACCCTTATAGATTTGATACTAAAGGGGTCATTTTAATTTGTTGTATTCAACAGAGAAGAGAAGTGTTTAAAATATCCATTCATATAAACTATACTAATAAAAAATATTATTTAAAAATTTTCTCTGTAGGCCTATTTTTTATTAGGTAGTTTAAATTATTTACAAAAGTTTTTAGAACTTGTTTCAGATTATGCATGAAAGTGTGTGTACATTTTTATGGGTCATATAAAAAATACACCATATGAATACCATGTATGTAAATTTCACTATACAGGGAGCGGCAAAATGATCTGACGGTTTTCTTTGCCACCCTGTCAAGCGAGTGAGTGGCGGAGGCTGGTGGGAATTGGGGCGTTACAAAGCCTACGTGCGGACATATTTAGTAGCCATGGAGCTGTGGACAGTTGAGTACCATGCATTTGTATGGGAAGTGTTTTTTTAAAGTAGCAATTCGTGTAGCTGTTCAGCGGCAGTACCGTAGACGTTTCAATGTTTCAATGTGGGTCCAAGGGGAAAAGTCCCAACTCAAAACACCATTCTGCTGTGGGTAGGTTACTTCAGAGCTACTAGTATAGCGTTGAAAAAAAGTCAACAGGCTGCCCAAGGTCAGCTCGGACACCAGAGAGTGCCAAGAGAGTGAGATAAGCTGTGGAAGTTAGTCCTCAGCAGCCTAAACTAAATATAAATAAGCTGCAGCTCTGCACTTGTCTGGCCGCTCAGTTGAAGAGTATTACAATACGATCTGCATTTTCATTCATACAAAATGGCAATCATGCAACTGCAACAGTTGAAGCCCAGTGGTTATACAAAGCGCAGCTCTTTTTCAGAACAAGTAGTGACTGATTTTCTTACACGTGACAAAGTTGCCATTCTGAGTGACGAATCACACTTTCAATCACACCACATAGTCTTTCTCACTCTCTTTAGTTTTACACGACCTAGTCAGATTTAAGTTTAAATGCTGAACTAGTAGCTCTAAAGTTACCCACCTACAGCAAAATGGTGTTTCGAGTTGGGACTTTAATTCTTTGACCCACATTGAAACGTGTACTGAACAGCTACACAGGAATTGCCACTTTTAAAATCACTTCTACTACAAAGTCATGGTGCTCAGCTGTCCCACGGCTCCATGGCTACTAAAAATGTCCACACGTTGGCTTTGTAACGCCTCTATTCCCACCACCCTCCGCCACTCACTCGCTTGACAGGGCGGCAAAGAAAACCGTCAGATCATTTTGCCGCTCCCTGTATATATTTTTAGAAAATCTCATCAATTTTTTGAAATTAAGTAGTATGCCTATTTACAATAACAATTGAATGTTTTTGTGTTTATTTATAAAATACTCATCAGCTTACTGGGTATTGTCGAGTCAGCATACAAAGAAAACAAGAATTGCATTTTATGCTTGGCCACAAAAAAATATTAGAGAGCGATTCAGCAGGATAGCCAAAATATTTAAATTTGCAATATAAGCATAGACAAAAAGAAATAAGTGTAGAAAAAATGAATTAAACATAGACTGTCAGCCGTGCAGTGGTTACCATAGATTCTGGCACACACTGCTGGGAGCGCCGTGTAGTTACGTGGCGCATAGGCCGTAACTACATGGCGCTCCCAGTGGTGTGCGCCAGAACCTATGGTAACCGCAGCACAGCTGACGGTCTATATTAATTCTTTTTGTCTATGATATAAGTCAATCTGTTGATTATGAACTTGAGCAGTGGATTGGTAATTTTGTGACCGATCGATGCCCCTACATAAATGGTCTTGTATTTTGAGTGGGGGAAGATGTTAAATAGTTTACATACCTGGGGTTGAATCCAGTGATGCTTCAAACATTGTACAACTGTGTTCCTTTCTCTGCAACAATTAAAGGAATCTATTCGGATCAAATATGGCACAATATTTGGTATCCTAATATTATTTATGTTGATAGACAAGAAAACATGTTATTGTTTTTTGGCTATAACATCAGTTAAATTAGGTCCCCACATGGCATTAAGAGAAAAAGATTGAGCTATCAAAATATTCTTGCAATTGTTCCCTGTACAGAATATCCCCTCCCAAGCTACAAGAAAATAGGTGAACTTTTGAATTTGTAAACCACAGAAAATTGACCTCAAAAAGCATGAAAAAATAACGCTTTATTTAAAATATAATATTAGTAAGATAACTTAATCATAATAAACTATTGGACATAAAAATATGTCCAGGGCTTGACAATGGATAAAAAAAAATTGTTGTGTATAAAGTTTCAAAGCCCTAATATTACTTAGCAAATTGAAATTTATATCTGTCTTTGTATCTAATTTTAGTGCTATATTACTAATATTCAACATATTTTATACTCAATGTAAGAGATGATTTCTATTCAGCAATTCTGTGGTTTTTTAAGTGTAGCCTACTTAGGGCCTAATTAATCATTTATTTATTCCCTGAGGGAGCCACCATATACCGTGAGTTATAATCGTGAAAATACGTAAAACCTTTGAGGGAATTTCTGTGCTTACCTTTTAGGACTGAAATCTTTAAAATTATGAGAGAAACACATTATAAAAACTTCATCCTTTATAACAAAAACTCTTGAAATTGGTCAAAAAGGTAATACAGATTCAAGAAAGAAAAATACACTACATATTAAATACAGTAGTTTAAGTATTAAATAACTACCTCGGTGATTTTTTGAGTAATTTTGCAATAAAGTCCTTGGCGAGAGAGCTGATTTCGGAAAAAGCTTTATGTTCAAATGTATAACTTCCAGTGGAAACGTTTGTATATGTTTGTTGCTTGTCTTCCCCAAGGAATGGAGACAAGCCACTCAATCTGTAAAATAATAAATAACAATTAATACTCAAGAATCATCTCTTTTACTACACAAAGATTCACTGACCTTCCGAAAAACACAAAGTCAAAACAGTGGTGGTGCGGGGGGGGGGGGCCCGTGAGCCATGACCGGGATTTTTCGGTAAATTTTACCGGGACACGGGCCCGTGATTGTGCGACAGGCTCAGCCACCACATGGGTCCATTATCGTATTTATATGAGAATTACTATACGTTTTTATGACAAAATTTTGTTCAAACCAGCAAGAGCACTAGGACAAGTGGCTTACAACAGCTAAACTGACACTATTACTTGACTCATCAATATACATTCTCTACCAACCTAAGTAAAAGAATTGTCAACAGTCATGTAGGTTGCATCAACTGTCCTCGTGGACTGTGTGAAGGCACTATAATGGGGCCGTATTTATAACCAATGTAGCCTCCGGCCTAGGAGGATAAAACATTAATGTTAAAGAAATAATAGTGCTGCACCCTGTTGGTAATCCTTGTAACTTTAATGCTATTGAACATCATAGAACAGAACCAACTTCTTTAATTGAAACAGCTGTTAAGATTCATTAATTCCATTTCTCATAAGGTTAACATGGGAAACTCCAGAGCCACTGAGGCAGAGCCCAGAGGTTGGAGGGTAAAATCCTTTCTTAGTGAGTGTCTACTACCCAAAAGGAAGATGCCTGCCAAGTTTCAGGTTCCTAGGTCTTATGGTTTCTGAGATTTCGTGATGAGTTTGTGTGTCAGTGGTATTTGAGCTTTATATATATAGATAAGGTAATAATAATTGTCTGAGCCCCCAAATACAAATTCTACACTCGCTGTTCTGAAAAAACAGTTTTAAATTAATACCTTGATTCTTGATTCCTATGCAAAGGGCAGGCTTACAGCTAGTTTTGTATTAAATTATAAATATGCCTACTGTACTTAAAATCTGGAAACAAAGATATATACTCCCGCTAAAAAACTATATTTAATCATAAATTACAAAATTCTAGTTAAAAAATGAATTTTTTATGTTTAACTTTTTAAAATGATTGATTTAAATAGGTAAAGCATACTGATACTACTAATTTATAGGTATTTATAGTTGCGTAGGCAGCAATACTTACAAAATATAGGTGATTACTCCAATTGCCCACATATCAGTAGCAAGGGAGAGGGTTTCAAAATTAACAACTTCTGGAGCTACAAACTCAGGCGTTCCAAAGACTGTTTTGATTTCAGAAACGGAGTCCAACTTTTGGGAGAGTCCGAAATCAATCACTTTTATTGTTGGAAGGGATGTCTTTTCCATGAGCAAGATGTTTTCAGGCTGAAACAAATTATTGTTAACATTTTTTCAATACTAAACCCCATGAACAAAATGTGACAAAGTTTGAATTACAATGTAGCCACAAAGTGTCTGAGTAGCCGATTGGTTAGGCTATAGTGCTCGCCTTCAAATATGAAGGTTGCTGATTGAATTCCAAGCGAGATCGCTACTAGACCCAGATAGGCCTACCATTGTCATTGGGTTATTAATGATGGTATTTAACAATACCCCCGCCGCAGCAAACCCGCAGTCTAAGCAAATTTCCAATTGCCTGTTTTTTTTTTTACTCAAATATCTCCTTTAGAATGTCATATTCATTCCCTATTTAAATAACATTTAGTTAGTTTAAAGAGTATCTAGTTTTGCTGCTACAAGGAGGAGAGAACAGAATTTATTTATAAAAATAAACACATCTGCATTTAAAAAATAAGGTGTGCCAATGACACAGAACAAAATACACACTCAAATTTTGAAGGATTATAACAGCTATTAAGACTGATTAATTAATAAAGTGTGTTTTTTAGTAAAATAGAAATAAATAGCTTAGTATTATTAAGTAAATGAATTAAAGTTTGATCAAAATACATCCATAAACAAACAAAGTAGGCTACAACAGTTTATTATTGTTCTCCATAAACATAGGTAGGACATAGGTAGGAATTTAAATTTACAATATTTTGGATTTTCTCCGTAACCAATAACTGTACAAAAACACTTTGATGTACTAAATTATTTGTTTTTTTAAGCCCTTAAAAATGGTTTGGATAATAAATTGGGAAATTTTATGTTTTGAGAGTGAAAAATTAAAAACCTATTTTTACCCCATAAAACCCCCCACAAAACCCAGTTCCCATGATCCGATCATGATGGATTGCGAACTCGTTAGAATAAATCTAGTTTGACTTGTTTGTACCAAATTTAATCAAAATCGGATGATTTTTGTTCGAGTTATTGTGCTAACGGACACACAAATTTTAACCGATGGTGTTTTTGGCCTCTGGGGACCTCAAAATGAAAAAGTCAATAGATCCTGGGTCCAGGTCTTACCATGAGACATATGATAATAGCCCTTATGGAAAATTCGCTAAAACCACCAAAATAAAAAAAATTAAAAAAAATATCAATTCAAAATCACAAATTGGATTTTGATACTACTGCTTTAACTGACCTGGTAGTTTTTTTGCATACCTACTGCACATAGGCCAAGAAAATATGCTTTTACAATCACCACAAACTAGTATAACAAATATACCAGATTTTACAAGGGAAAAGAGATTTCCCAATCTAATCGGTTACTGTATACACAGATATTTTTTTTGTGTGTATACAGATATTTTTTTAAAGCCATTTTAGCCTATAGTAAATCTTGGTAATCTGGAGGCTACCTATCTTAAAAAGGAAATAAATAACTCTTTGTTTTTTGGCAAAACAATCAATGTAGACCTACCTTAAGGTCGAGGTGAGCAATATGTAGGGAGTGCATGTGTTGCACTGCCTCCAGTATCTGGCGTGTTATATGAATTGTTTGTGACTCGGACAGATGTTGGTGTTCTGTTACAAAGTCAAACAGCTCTCCTCCACTGACTCTGAAACAGCCATAACCTCTTTAATGCAGTTGACACTTGAATGATGGTCGACAGACTTGGTAACACGATGCTGCACTAAACAAGTCATTGGCTAAAGTCTGTCCAGCACTGAATTTGGTTTGCCTTTCATCAGGAATTATTGTGTCTTTCTCATAGTGGTGTCCAGTGGGATCCCTGTGCTTTTGTTGAGTAGTGTCTAGAACAATTGTTTGTCAGTTGAGCTTGAGTGCAAAGTGTCTGAATTCAACTTATAATCTAAGTAGGCATAGGTAGTAAAATTTAGAATTAATCAGGCCTTTAAGTTATACATATTCATCAGGGCCTACTTTATAAACAGTAGACTTACCACGTAGATGTTAACAAACTGAATTTAATTGGGTTTTCATTCAAAAATACAATTTTTTGTATAGCCTAAGTTCGTTGTAGTCGTATTGGCAGAAACTGTTTTGAAAATCAAGTATAAAGATTGTGATTTTCATATTTTTCCATTTTTGAAATTGTTTTCCATATTTTTAACTTATTCAAGTTGTTGACACAAATCACTTGGACAAATTTAAGATTTTGTTCAAAGTTTGTTAAGTAATACCATACACTTTGTACACTGAGTTTAACTGTTTTACACAGTTAAATCAATCAAAGGTACACACCTTGAATGCTTGCTCAATAAGCAATATCTCAAGCTTTCTATAAAAATAGAGTACTTACAGCTCTAGAAGTAGAATAACGGTTTGGCCAGTATCAATGACTTCATGCAGTCTTATAACATTTGAGTGATTTAATTGCATCAATGTGTCAATTTCTCGCTGAATATCTTCCATTGGAACACCCCGACAAACTCGCTTCTTGCGGATAAATTTCCCTGCAAATTGATTGCCTGACGATTTGTGTACACATCTTTTGACAACAGCAAAATGTCCCCTAAAACAGAAATGGGATGATTGCTTGATAGACTCCACAAGTTAAATAGATTGTTAACTTATGATACTGTAGTTTTTTTCCTGGTCTGAAAGTTTAGGCTTAACACTTATGTAATAAAAAAAAAAAATTAATGAGTTTAATATTGTATTAGTTTAGTACTGTAAGTTATTAAGTTACATTGACTAGGCATACATGTTAGGCCTACCGTAACATGTTCCTACTTAATAGAAGACTTTGATTTCTTGAGCACAGACTACTTAAGTTAATAGTCTGATAAAATGTTTCCCTGATAAACCAATTAATTAGACTCCAATAGGATAAACAATAATAACAATCTGAACAAGAATAAGCTATGGTTAGTGTAGTGGCCTGTTTCTTGAAAATCATGAATTACTTACTTTCCCAACTCCTCGAAAACATCATAAGATTCCTCGAAAATAGAAGTCATGTCGGCTACAGGTTTATTTTGAACGTTAAATTAATAGGACACTTTTAAAATTAAAATTAAATCATGTAAAACGCACAACTGAAAGGGACACGAAAACAAAATTTGACACTTGGAATTGACAGTTAACCAATCTTGTTCCGTTATTATGTATGATATGTCTAGTCTATGAACAGAAACAGACAGACAGCTGTAGTCAGTGCACAAAAAACTGTACCGGCCAAAGTCAGGCAGGATAAAGTAAGAATTTTGTGATACAGCAAAGAGCGTGAATTCTCTCATAGCTCGTAAGCTCATAGATTATAATTTTGTTCTGAAATGTTTATTAATTGTTTTGTCCTTAAGTTATTTATGATTGATGTTTAATAGTCCATAAGCCAATACCACACCGTACCTGACTCGCCATATAATTTCTTATTTTATGTAGCTATGTATTCTAAAATTGACAAGACATTGTATTTTGTAATTACTTAACGGTCATAAAAATGCCATATGCCTTATGTCATAGCTGAAATTAATTCCCTCCATATAAAATAAGCCATAATCTAATAATTAATAATATAACATAATCTCACCGATTTATAAGATAAAAGTGTGTTCATGATCACAAGTTGGTACAGTATTTAATTTATGACTCCACTCTTATTTCTCACGCGTTTACATTTTATAGTCAATGTTATGGGACGATCTGAGCACGGCCACCTTAAGGTGGCTGCCATCTGAGACACGGCAACTGGCTCTGTTGGCCATCCGAAAGTTGACGTCAGGCTGGCTGGGTCCGAAATAACGTTTGGTGCAATTTCCAATCAGACTGGCGGACAGCTATAGTATCGATAAGGGCAATGGACGTCTCGTCTAAGATAACCGTGTCGACGGAGGATCGGTCATCTCTGGGGATGCGTTCGTGGCCGACGGTGTTTGTGAATTCCTTTACGAAGCCGGGCGAGCTGCTCTACTGTTTGGAGGTCAGACAGTGTTCCACCCTAAAGGGCTCAGGTGACCCCCGTGGACTGAACGCGATTGGCGTTTTTCGAACCGAAGTTGTGTTGGTGAGTGAGCAACGCGCTGTATATCTGGCAATGGTAGCAACGCAGGACCTCGGGCCTCAGACACTCTTGGGATATCAAATCAAATCAAATCTTTATTCATCATTAAATAACGAGTTACAATAGATTTCGTCAAAAATGTATAATGTATAAACCTTAAAGACACCTCAAAAATATGACTACCGGTACATTTATATTGCCTACAAAAATATGAAGATATGTGACCAGTTTCGTCGCAGTTCCAACACACGAACCGCTGATGGCCCATCGATCGTTCGGCCGTCACCAGGTGAACCAGCGTCCACATTCCCCCGCGAACGTATCTTGGCGAAGGGTCACACGACGCTGGTGGAGAAAGCCTCGTCCGCTTGTGTTTGTCGTCCAAGGGTTCACCAATCAGGACGAGACCTGGTCTTCCCCACCTGTGATCAATTGCGGCGCTGTCATAAAACCAGCTGATGATTTCACGAGCTGATGATTTCACCCAGCTGGTCACGAGCGTAGGCAGTTCCCGGCATCAGGGACATCGAAGGTCATGGTGGTCTGTTGGCGTGCGGAATGTTTGACAACTAAGAACATACTCCTCGTATCACTCTTTCTAGAGGGCTTTTCAGAGCTCTTTCAGTGACCTTAGAAAACAAAAATTGGTGCGACGTAAGGGGCAAGCTTGTACTATGGGCGCATGTTATGGTAGATGAGTTCGAGTTCCCATTTGTAATATATGCATATTAATTTATAACATTTTATATTTGTAGTGGCAACATCAGTAATATAAAGGATAATTCAGTTAAATAAATTAATACCCTTGGTCGAGCATTAAACCAACCACCGATAGCGTCCTATCCCCCACCACCCCACCTGTCCGGTTCTCCGGTATGATCCTTCTGTTCGCTCTCAGCTGCAGCTCTCGGTTGCCCGCCACCTACACCGACTTTACCATGTAACATAAATATGGAACGTGTCTTACGACAGTCTGCTTAGACTCGAAATGCCAGACGAGACCCGCCTCGTTGGCTACGCCGACGACGTCGCTGCTCTCTGGTTGCAGGCAGAACCGTTGAAGAAGCAGAGCTTAAACTTGGTATAGTGATGCTCCGTGTCAACGAGTTGATGTGGGACCACGGCTTATCGTTGGCGGTTGAAAAAACAGAGATCGTGATCCTAACCAAGAAAAGAATTCCCACCGTCCTTCCCTTGCAAGTAGGCCATGCCCAATTGGAGACCAAGCCGTATGCCAAATACCTTGGTGTTATGATTGACGGCAAAATGTCTTTCGGCGAGCAGATAAAGCGAACTGTTGACAAAGCCGCCAAGGGAGTTGTTGCTCTTAGTAGGCTTATGCCAAACGTCGGCGGCCCCCACTCCTGCAAACGCCGACTAACTGATGTCTGCCGTCCAATCAGTACTCTTGTACGGCGCTGAGGTCTGGGCCCACGTGCTGGAGAGGCGTGTCTTCCGTGACAGGCTCTCCCGTGTTCAGCGTCGAGGTGCCTTGCGAGTTGTTTCCTCCTACCACACGGTTTCCGAGCCTGCAGTCATGGTGATTGCCAGTGTCATCCCCGTCTTTCATCTCGCGAGGGAGCGACAGGCGATCTAACGCAGGAGACCTGAAGTAGATAGAGAGACTGCCGCCAGAGAGGAACGCAACCGCAGTTTCGACCGCTGGCAGCGTGAATGGGAAGCCGAGTCTCGGGGACGATGGACCACTAGGCTCATTCCTAGCATCCAACCATGGGTGGAACGGGAACATGGTGAGGTTGGGTAAACTACTTGACTCAATTTTTTCGGGTCACGGGTACTTTCGGGCCTTTTTTGCACAGAATGGGGAAGGCTGCCAGCCCAGACTGTTTGTACTGACCTGGTATTGCAGACACGGCTGAGCATACCTTCTTCTTCTGCGACATGTGGCATGTCCGCCGAGCCTCCTTGATCTCCGAGATCGGCGTCGATATTAATCCCGACAACATCGTTGGAGCTATGCTCCAGGGGGAAGGAAACTGGAACCGTGTAAAGCAGTTCCTCGAGGCCATACTTCGGGATAAGAAGGTCGACCTCGATCGGCCTTAGTTTTCTGAGGAAACCAGAAGGAAAGCCCTAGGGGCATAGTTTAAAAGGCCTAGCCCGAAGTAATGTGCTAAACAGTTCCAGGCTAGTGTCCTAGGAGACGAGGGGGTTTTTTAGCCGGTAGTCCGGGGACAATAAGCCCGCGGGAGTCCGGCACTACTGAGTGGCCATTGAGCACATCAGTGTACGTAAATGCATTTTTACCTCCTCCCCATAAAAAAACCCATGTAACATATACCCTTCACTCTAATGTCAACCGGCGGTAATATAATTACAGTATAACGCGACTTCTTATTTTCACCCCGGTATTACCACAGCTCTTTAAGTAGTGTTTGAGAAGAATCAAGAATCAATAGTTCAGTGAGTGCGAACATTTCATTTTGGCGACGAGGATGGGATATCTGGCTTTCACCCTGAAGGCCCGGGTTCGATTCTCGGCATGGGAACCCCCCCACAAAAAACGTATGGGAAGGCATACATGTTGATTTTTTGGGCCCTATCAATAGTAAATTGTACATTATCATAGTAGAAGCTCCCAGTAATGGTTGGAAGTAGAAAAAGTTAACTCTACTACAGCAGCCAAACAAACTATTGCTAAGCTCGCAGGCCCCTATTTGAGAGATTTGGTCTTCCCCACCAAATAGTTTCTGATAACGGACCACCACCACTGTTGACTTCTTTTGAATTTAAAGATTTTTTGAAATCCAATGGAATCATTCACACACATTCCACACCACCATTTCACCCAGCTACAATTAGTACAAACTCAGTCAAAAATGTTAAGAAAAAAATTAAGCTAGGTAGCTATTATGAGGTACACAATTTAGATTTATCTCTTTGTAATTTTTTGTTAGCCTATAGGAATTCTGTTCATTTAACTAACGAAACTCCTGCAAAATAGACCTTAATGGTGTAGATTAGATTTGATCAGGACAAACCTACCACAGTTTGTACATAACCAGGGCCTAGGGGCAAGCGCCCGGGGCCCCCCCCCCACCTCTTGCCCAGTAGTTCTTCTGAATAAGTTCAAAAAATAATTAAGCTTTACCGAATGGCTTCTCTCATTTTGGGTAGTTAAAATTACGATCGTGGGAAACTATTCCAAATACCAGAAATTGCCGCGATCGAAAGAAATCATGACAGCCGTTGCCACGATTGTGGGAAATCATCAAGAATTTTGCAACGATTAAAATATGATCCCAGATAATGACCGCGATCACAAAAAACTGTCACGAGTATTGAGATAATTGTGGATGGTGCCGTGATCCTTTAAGACACCTACGTTACTGCAATTCGGTTGTTGTCGCGATCACGTCATAAACGAATCATCATAACTGACAGAGTAACAGACTAAGCAGATTGATAATTATGGCGGAAGTAAAACAAGAGATTTGTGTGAGGGCCAACCCGTATTCCGTAATTGTAAGAGACTATAGGGGTAGGAACAAATGGATTTCAGGTGTAATTGTAAAACCTCCAAGTACCTACTGTGTCTTACTTAGTAAAGTTGGAAAATGATGTTATTTATTTAGAAACGTCATATCGATCAGATAATTGAGTTAAATAGTGGAATTATTACAGTTATTGAACTTTACTAAGTTTTAAAGGCATATCTTTGGTACATAATGGATTTTTGAAATTCTTCGTTATTTTTCATGACACCACGCAGTTTCTATAAGATGTTTGGCTTTACCAACACACTAAAATTAAACCCTTTCATCATAGATTTCTGTCTTTGGTATCAATCTCTTCTTTAGTCTTGATTTTCATTGTTTTTGCAGGCAGAGAATGAAGAAGGATAATATTAATAATAAGGTAAAAGTAGGCTATATGATAGCACAAGATTTTATTGAACACTAAACAAATACAAGGAAGATAGAAGAAGCCACAGAC